TGATGGTTGACGCGTAACAACTTCTTTGTGTTGTGTAGCACTCAAAGCCTCCAACGATTTGAATCTTACCTCCAAAAACTCTAACATCTGCTTAGTAGTTGGAATATTTCTAGTCCCTGCTAACTGTTGTTCCCATAAACGTTGACTATCATTGTCGAAATTTGCTACAATGATATGTGTGATAAGAGGATCCCAGTTTGTTGTTGTTACGCCAACATTATTAAGTGCGTTCAATACTTCATTCGTGGTGTCTAATAATGCGCGTAACCCTTTGGCTGACTCTAACGTAAGCTTCCTTTGATTAAGTATACTATAAGTCTTTTGTTATCATACCTTGACTCCAATACTTCTAATGCTTTCTCATAGTTTGCTTCTGTTAATGGAAACTGCTTTAATAAATTCTCTGCTTCGCCCTTCAAATTACTTTTCAGGTAATGATATTTCTCTATGTTAGACAACTGTGTATTATTATGTATCAACGACTTGAATAAATCATAGAAGCCTGTCCACTCATTGTAACTTCCTGAAAAGGCAGGTATTTCAATTGTTGGTAACCTTAGAGCTTTGCCTGGAGCTGTGGAGACAGGAACTTCTCCCTTATTCATAGAAGTCGACGAGTTTAAAAGCAATTCTTCCAATTTCTCTTTCATCAAAGTCTTAAACTCGAAATAGACATCTTCACAACTATAGTACGTATCTTCTTGAAAATATGTTAAACTTTTCTTTTCTTCTTGCGTTGCCCTTTTCGTAATGTCAAAATGGTTGTTTTTGAATAATTGAAAGTTTGCTTCTAATGAATCTAATCTTGTTTCAATATATGACTTATTTATTCTTGCTTTCGATTTCTTGAAATTGGATAAGGCTCTATTTATTTGTATAGATAATTCATTTTGCGTAATAATTATTTCTTGTAAAGACATTTTTCTTGCAGTTACTTGACACAATAAAATATTACTCTTTGTTCAACTTAGATTTTTTATATATCCATGGTATGAGTAATAGAGAAAAGGAGAGTATATTCAAAATAATTTTCCGTTATACTCTTTGAATAATAGAGAAAAGGGAGAGTATTCAAAATAACTTTCCGTTATACTCTTTGCCAACTGTCAAATAATTATCCGTATTTTACGATGAAAATTTTCTCTTTTATGATGTATATTTCTTGAAATCTATATAATATTTACGACTTACAATATCCAACTATTTGTTTTATCGTCACTTATTCAAATCCGGCGAGTTATGGACCAAATGTTCACACATCACACTATACTACGAAAATGAAACATCTAACGTAGGCTGACATAACTAACTTTATTGACAGTTTACTTTTTTATAAACTACTAAACAATTGGAATTATGCGTATTTTTTTTAATTAAAAAAGAAAAGTCACAAAATGATTTAAAATAGTATTATTAGTATTATTTATTTATTGAAATATTTTTTAGAAACATATTGTACGTCTATTTCTTAATGCTAATTACTCAATTAAGATAACTATCATATTATATTGATAATATAAAATTAAAAGTGGGAAAATATTTTTAACACTACGCTAACATACAGAAACAAATCAAAATTATCGCAATATATATTTCTTTTTTTTTGCTCAGCAAGATTGACATCTTACACCCGGTGAGCTTCAGGATCTGAAATAAGTTCATTAACCTTGAGAAGGTGTAAAGTATCTTCATCGAGCTCCTTTACATTTTTTGCATATGGTTTTCTTATGCTCGTTATATATGGATCTGAAGTGTAAAGTAGTGTATTAAACACATCTTCGTTTGTAGCTATTCGAGAGCATTTCCGAGCATGGTGTAAGCGAAATTTTTTATAGTCCTTATTGCGAGATTCTTGAGCATCTTCTGAAAGTTGCCCAATTGGTAATACCGCGAAATGGTTACTGATACTCTCTCCGTGAATTAAAATGTTGTGGACAGATGATGGATGTAATACCAACTATATTTACTCACGTATATTCTTGCAGTTTCCAGAGCATAATTACCAAATTTCTTACTATCTACCACTATACCAGATGACAAAGCCTGCAAAATTATATATAACCGTTTAATTAAATCAATGTCAATCCCTGTGATATCAGCAGAACCTGCCTGTTCTGCTGATATCACAGGATTCTGATTTTTTTACAGCATTGTAAAAAAATCTCCTAGCAGTATTGCCATCATTACTATTTCCCGTCCCCTGTCGTGGTTTATCGATATTTAGACCCAACTCTTCACGAAATCGCTTTTGTACTTCAGCCTTTTTTTCTTGTTTGAGTCTTTTTTTTCTTCGCTTGTAGCAGACCACGTTTGGAAAGATAGATTATATGATATGTGTAATATCATTTCCATGCAACGAATCCAGGCATGTAATGTGGATAATCCCTATTGATAAGCATTTTCATTTTCAGGCCTAGCTATTACTTTCGTTAAATCATTCATTTGTATAGGAGTTGCTCCGCATATTGTACATGTGGAACTAGAAGGCGTACCTGTTAAAACTTGTGCCACTTTTCCGTCTATCATCGTCAAAAAAGTTCATGCTTGACTTGGACTCCCACGCCTTCTATATTAATTATTGATGGAAGCAAAGTTTGTATTTGATTTTTTATTTCATCTACAACCGATTTAGTTTTTTCTGGCGTTTCTTTGCAAAATTCTATAGATATAGGCCGACAGAAACGAACAGATGAAGGCACTGGATTTTGCCATGTGATGGCGCCTGATTCCACGTCAGTTAATCTGATAGGCACAAAAGAAGTAATAAATAAATTTGCATCGGAAATAAGTTTAGACTCCTCTGGTAGTGCTTGCTTGTACTGGCTTTGTCCAGATGACCCATCACAACCCCATTTGCTATACAATAGTAAATGTTTTTGTCCATTCTTGAAAACCTTATCTATTGATAAAATTCGAGCTGCAGTGTGATCCAATAGATCTTGAACTCTCAATATTTTTGCATAAGTATTTGTGATTTCGATTGTTGATGATGGTGGATAGCACCTCTGTTTCATTTCCTGTATTTTATAGTATGGTGGAAATAAAGAACAGTTTCTTTCATCTGTAACGTTCCTGAGATACAGATATTGTGCCTTTGTTAGTTCCAAGTCGATGAAGACACTTAATGCTTCTTCATCTGTAAGCCCTTTAATTATTTTTGCATCATCTAATTGATTTATAACGAAAACCTTTTTCTCTGCATCAGCCAACCTTAATTTTTCAACAACTTTTGCTTCAATTCCTTCTCCTATAGAACGCAATCCTTGAAGATATGCGCTTAGAATGTGCTCCAAACCATATTCATTTAGCAAAATGGTGTTTTTTCTTTTTGTGCTTGATTCTGAAGAGTCTCCATATGACACACACGGTCTTCCTCGTTTACCAGAAGAAGTAGACGGTGTAGTCTGTTGACACGTTTTCTGATGTTGGTATAGTTAACGAATATTCAGAATCCAACCAATTGGTGTTCTTTCTTAAAAAGGTATTTTTATTGCGTCCTGCTTCACTCCAGCGTTTATTAAACGAAGGGATGACATCCCTTTGAATATGGTCAATAATAAAACATATATTGACATCCGAAATTTGTTTTCCCTCCAAATATGTTGAAAGTGCCGCAGTCGTTTTTCCGCCTTCTATATAAGACACTATTAACTCACGTTTAGTACAGTTAAAAGTAGACATGTTGAATAATGAAATAATCGTACCTACTAAAGTACGTAGACGTAAAGACCACTGAAACGGTAATGGAGACATATTTTTTCACTGCCTTTTTATATTGTTTCAGAATGTGGGAATTATTTCAGATATCTATTTTCTCACGGAAAATGACATCGAAATGATAAAACCTACATAACAATATCAAATAATTAATTCATAAAATGTACCACAAACTATTGATAATAAAAGTAAACTACGAAACCGCATTTGATAGCGATTTCCGTTCCCAGACTAGTATTCGATTTTTTCACATATCTCCGAAAACCGCAAAAAGCCGCAGCTAATTTTTTTATATGTTTTAGATGAGTAACTAACCTATAATTTAACATTAAATTCAAAGCATCGGTAAACAACTCTAAATGTTAAAAGATTCGACGAAGTTGAGGAAAAACAAAATTCACCATTTTTTCTTTAAATTGGTTTTTAAATTTATATTCGTATTAAAAACAATCAATTGTATTTATTTCTGACCTCTGATAAATGTGCTTTTCAAAAATATATAGTACCTTATACCTTTCATTTCAAGTTTTAAAACTATTTCACGTTGAAAAACGTAAATGAAGAACTTAATATTTCCCAGCTGCCTAAACGTTTAACTTTGCTACATGAAAAAAAAATACTTTTACGAAATAAAATATGAATTACGCTGCAGAATATTAAACTTCGACTTTTGAACTATTAAATTATATTCATATATTACCCAATTTCAATCAGTAATAAAAATCAATTTTGATATGCGTTTGTTCTACCATATTCCACCGTGCCGCGGCCCGACTGATGTTGGTCGGGCATCGTATATATAAACTGTTGGCTACCGAATTTCACTTGCGCGATGTAGGCTTCCTGACGTTGTGAACGCAGCGCCGGTAGCGCCATCTCTTGAGGATGCACTATAGGTAAAGCCGTCTCTGCTTTGGGATTCCCAAAACGCGCATGATAGAGATCTGTTCTTAGAACATCTATCAGCACATGGCCGACTTCGAATGCCCCGTCACGTCACAGTGCAGTGGCGCTCGCAGTGATGGAAACCAGCGCGAAGCACGGTACGATTATGTACTATGAGACTGCTGACTGAAATTTTGGCTGAAATTTTAGTCTTCAAGTTTGGAAAGATAATTTCTTTGCTGTTATGGCAAACTTTGGGTTGAAGCCTGTCGCTAAAAAATCCAACAGCTTCATTCAAAGAATTCAATCTTGATAAAAGTGGATGCGGTCACTTTCTCAACGATGATAATAAATAATTGTTTATATCTGAAAGATGACAAAAACGTATTTTATTCTAGGCTGCATTATAGCCGGCCAGTTGACCGAAGTGGGAGCGCGTGTAGCCGACGTGCGAGCATTCGCGGCGCGCGAGTGTTCGGCGATATGCTCGCGAGCGGCCGCGGTGCCACCCGGGCCCGCGTCGAGGGAAGTCCTGTACGCCGCAGCTTACGTACTAGCAGAGTACTGCCAGTAAGTGTTATACTGCTCTTTGGGCAATTCCACTTCCCAAAAAACTTAACGCTGTAGTTTCATTGATCAAATGAATCTTTAGAAAATTTACATTTCACATGATATTCACTTGTTCTGATTATCATTTGGCATCATTTTACTGTGTCAATTTTTATGAAGTTAAATGTTTATTGCATATGTTTTAATTTGTCAAAGATATATTCCAACAAAATTAAACTTCATTCACTTAAGTTAAAGCGTCATTAGCCAGAAAAGCAGGTTAGGGTAGATCTGCGATCCCAACTGAGTCCTCATTTCGATTATTTTCTTCATTGGCGCGAGTTATAATAACTGATGGATGTGTTTGACAGGGAAGAGGCAGTGATGCGGGAGTCAATATCGCCGCTGTTGGCGTGCGCTGGCGTGGGCGGCGGACACATGCGCGCGCGCGCTGTGTGCGTGCACGCCGCGCTCAAGCTGGCGGCGCGACTGCTGCGTGCGCACGCGGACCGCGGCTCCCTGCACGACGCGCTATCTGTGAGTGAACTGTGAGGGAGACAGCGCCGTGTGAGTGCACGCCGCGCTCAAGCTGGCAGCGTGACTGCTGCGTGCGCACGCGGACCGCGGCTCCCTGCACGACGCGCTATCTGTGAGTGAACTGTGAGAGAGACAGCGCCGCGTGCGTGTACGCCGCGCTCAAGCTGGCGGCGCGACTGCTGCGTGCGCACTCGGACCGCGGCTCCCTGCACGACGCGCTATCTGTGAGTGAACTGTGAGGGAGACAGCGCCGCGTGCGTGTACGCCGCGCTCAAGCTGGCGGCGCGACTGCTGCGTGCGCACGCGGACCGCGGCTCCCTACACGACGCGCTATCTGTGAGTGAGCTGTGAGGGACAGCGAGGTGTGCGTGCACGCCGCGCTCAAGCTGGCGGCGCGACTGCTGCGTGCGCACGCGGACCGCGGCTCCCTGCACGACGCGCTATCTGTGAGTGAACTGTGAGAGAGACAGCGCCGCGTGCGTGTACGCCGCGCTCAAGCTGGCGGCGCGACTGCTGCGTGCGCACGCGGACCGCGGCTCCCTGCACGACGCGCTATCTGTGAGTGAACTGTGAGGGAGACAGCGCCGTGTGCGTGCACGCCGCGCTCAAGCTGGCAGCGCGACTGCTGCGTGCGCACGCGGACCGCGACTCCCTGCACGACGCGCTATCTGTGAGTGAGCTGTGAGGGAGACAGCGCCGTGTGCGTGCACGCCGCGTTCAAGCTGGCGGCGCGACTGCTGCGTGCGCACGCGGACCGCGGCTCCCTGCACGACGCGCTATCTGTGAGTGAACTGTGAGAGAGACAGCGCCGCGTGCGTGTACGCCGCGCTCAAGCTGGCGGCGCGACTGCTGCGTGCGCACGCGGACCGCGGCTCCCTGCACGACGCGCTATCTGTGAGTGAACTGTGAGAGAGACAGCGCCGTGTGCGTGCACGCTGCGCTCAAGCTGGCAGCGCGACTACTGCGTGCGCACCCGGACCGCGGCTCCCTGCACGACGCGCTATCTGTGAGGGAGACAGCGCCGTGTGCGTGCACGCCGCGTTCAAGCTGGCGGCGCGACTGCTGCGTGCGCACGCGGACCGCGGCTCCCTGCACGACGCGCTATCTGTGAGTGAACTGTGAGAGAGACAGCGCCGCGTGCGTGTACGCCGCGCTCAAGCTGGCGGCGCGACTGCTGCGTGCGCACGCGGACCGCGGCTCCCTGCACGACGCGCTATCTGTGAGTGAGCTGTGAGGGAGACAGCGCCGTGTGCGTGCACGCCGCGCTCAAGCTGGCGGCGCGACTGCTGCACGCGCACGCTGGCTGCTTATGATCTCTGCGGATGAGTATGGTGCCTACACGAAAATTAAAAACTATTGCATAATTATTACCAACGAAGTTTTTTATTATATTTGACATCATTTTGAGGTGTGGTGAAGTGTAAATCAGTTACGTGTTGATAACACTTCCCTGATACGATCAGGTATCTAAGCCTAAGCACGTTGTAAATAGTATATAAGATGTAGGTTAAGTTGATTAAATGTTGATATCACATTGAACGCTCGTCGTGATTTCTCTCGTGAGTCACCCACACCCCATCACCACATGGCGACCGTGACGTAGAAGATCGTGCTGCATCGGTCGGGGTCCATTATGTGAGTTTTTATAAATTTCAATCGACCATGGCAGCATACTTCTGAGCGCAAAGACCCAGAAGGGTTCGCAAGATTGAAGATGATTATTGAATCACGGAAAACTGCAAACAAATTACCTACGCACTCGGTTCCTAGGTTTCACGTATTTATGAAGATACCTTGAAGATGAAAATTATAATACTGAAAAGAGCATGAAGACGACTACGTTATAAAGAAGGAAATCATGAAGCTACATTTAATGTCAAGTAAGTTATAGTGTCGTCAGTTTAAGCAACAATAAGTAAATATTTCCCGACATTTTTTTTTGTTTGTTAAAATAAATAAGTATTAAGATCATAAAATGCAGCTTAACAGTTAATTCATCTCATTTCTTTATATTAGTTTTGTACCGGTAGACTTTTCATTTATTATTTATTAAGGAATTTTCGCAATTTAAAGTTTTAAGATATTATTTTTAAAAATGACAAGTTTTGATTTAGAGACAGCACTAGCCTTCTTACCTAGAATGACGGGAGAAGAGCATAACACACAATGTCTAATTAATAATATAGAATTTTACAGTAGCGTTATTGATTATAACTCGCAAAATACTTTAATTAATTTTGTTTTAAAAACTCCGAAACAGCAAAATTTTATTTAGAATCTTCTTATGATAGTATTAATGATTTAATTAGTGACATAAAACATTATTTTTTACCGAAAAAGTGTCCATCATCAATTCAATTTAAATTATTTAAATGCAAACAAGGAAGTAGGTCTATAGAACAATTTAGTTTAGAGATCAATAAACTGTTATCTGAATTAACTATTGCTCAATCGGAAAATGATCAGGAAAAGATTAAAATTTTGCTTCCGTTAAATGAGGCATTTGCAATAAGATGTTTTACTGAAGGTTTAAATAGTAGTCGAATAAGTTTAATTTTAAAGTGTAGGCAGCCCACGTTATTGAAAGATGCTATTCAAATAGCACTCGAGGAATATATTACATCATCGAATAGAGAGGAAAATATGATTCAGCAATTTAATTCCTATAATTCAAGGTTAAGTTACAGACCGAGAGTAAGAAATTATTATTTTAAAAATTATAGCGTAGCAAGTAAAAAGAATGTTCGCAAGACGTTGGAATCTCGCATTCCGCGCTACGGTCAAGTTCAAACGCGCAAAGCGCTAAATAAGCAAAACCGTGCTCAAATCGATGAGGTGTGCTCTTTTAAAGAAACTTGTAATACTGAGGTAATGAATTCTATAAATAGTTTTAATGACGAGTGTACGAGTCACGTACAGTAATCTTGTATATCTGCAGAGCAAGCATAACCTACTTTAATCACGTAGATGTATCTAAGAAATGCATTGTATTAGGTATATTAAAACATTTATTTTCTTAATAAATCAATGCTCATCATTCATTCAACAGTAACAGTTGTCTTTCTTCCTTTATCCTAATATCATTATGTAGGGGTCACCCCTACAGTTTGGTCCTTCGAGCTATCAACATGTTGAACTAATCAACATATACGGCCCTCCGAGCTTGGAAAAGTGGGATCAATTCGCGACAGTGATTGTTCCTGTGTAACCTGGCCATTGATATTGACAACACTAAGGTACTTATCATAATATATTATTTTTATCAAGCAATATTTTTGACAGTAGCGAATCGATTCACCCGCCCTCCCACAAGCGGGTCTCACCGGCTGAATTGAGAAGGCAAGGCTAAGGTGTTTTATAGCAGCTTAGCATCCTTATCACATACAAACATGGTTTTAATCTAACGTCGAGAAATATCAGGAAGGAAGGGCACTCGATGACTCTGCGAAGACACAACATGGAGCGCAAATCATCGCAATACATTACAGAAGGTGTAGTAAGTCAGCAGGAACAACATTATCATCATTCGGTGCGTTCGGGTCATTTAAGAAGCAGCATCCATATCAATATCAACGCCGTCTACATCGCTGGTAAAATCAAACCGCAACAACTTCGTCAACTTGCACAGGAAGCAGCATCGCGGAACATAACAAGGTTTGAGAACCTAGCATTAGCAGAACGGCAATATCATTCGACTCAATTATCATTTCTTGATTTAAGTATCTTCTTAGGACTAGAGTATTGTTAATATGAGCAAGCATATATCATATCATTGATTAAATTTAATATTTAAGTATCAATTAAACCAATGTGAAGACAACCACTGATATCATTTGTATTATTGAGGAGACATCCTTTATTTATAATATCATTTTTTTTATAATTTTTATCAATTGTAACATATAAACAATTAACAAACAATCTACATTACAAATCAATGAATTAAGCATATAAGTATCAATTATAGCATTGTGGAGACATCCACTGATATCATTTATATCATTTTGTAGCATTAAGGAGACTGCTATAATTATCATACCAACCCATTCTATTTTTTATCAATCGTAACTTGTAGCAGACATTCTACGTTACAAATCAATTAATATAGCTTTGTTACGTATCAATTAAAACATTGTGGAGACATCCACTGGTATCATTTTTGTTAGCTGTATCATACGAGTCAACTATCATTTCTTGTATTAAGTATCATTTGAGAAAGAAAATGTTATTGTGTTACACAAATATCATATTCATTAATTGAGCATTTTTTATCAATTCAAACTGTGGAGACTTCCACCGAATATCATTTTGAATATCAATTAATTTAGCATTTTTAACGTTGTGGGAACACCATGCATAACTTAGCATTAAATTAGCATTTTTTATCAAATTAAAACATTGTGGACACATCCACTGATATCATTTTTATCAATCAAGAAGTCTAGGGAGCACCCTAGACTAGATCATTTTGCAACAAGCAAGTAAGGTTCGGAAAATGTGATCTAAGTTTTTAGCATAAGTCATAACATTGCTATCATAATATCAAGAATGCAACAGACATAAAAATAATGTTTCATAATAATGTTTATCAATTAATCAGCAAAAATATGCTGTTATTTCTATGTAATAATTTTACGTCAAGATTTATCAAACAAAACCCGAGTTGAGCAAACAGAGATTAATTGCAATTTAAAATGCATAGCAAGTAGGAAGAATATGTGCAAGTAACAATAATGTGTGTCAAATTCGTATGGGTAAGGTGCTACATCATCAATCATGTGCTCAAGTCAATGTAACTATTATGAAATCAAATTTAATTACAGCTGTAATAACGACTGTTTAGATCTTTAGTTATAAGTTTTCTTTGAAGGCATAAATAGGTAAAAAGCTACTTTCTTAGTAATTGTGGTTGTAAACACTATTTGTAAAATAATTTTGTATCAAAATTGTATATCGTTGTGTTTTTAAAATGTGAAAGGATGTTAAAGTCGAAATCAATG